GACACTTGATAAGCGAGTAGCTCAATTGGTGGAAACAAATGCAGATCATTGGTTAATTTGGTGAGTTAAGTAAAGGTCAAGAATAGCCATGACTATGTGTCTATGCAGAGAGGTGCTGCCAAATAATAATTTTCCTACTAATGGCTAATGTTTTTATATGCCGTGCCCATCTTTTGTATAGATGAAATGATCATTCATATCAGAGACTCATAATGTTTATTCTCTTTGGATATTCCAGTTGATGTTTTGAAGGTAGTTAGCACTTAATAGATTACATGACAGACAGAGCTTATGTTGCTCTGGTCTCTTCTCCACCCAAGAATGTTCTATTCCTTTTCAGTTATCCAAACTTAAATATATTCAAAATCTAACTGAAGTTCTTCCTGGTCTTCATAGACTTTCCTAAAGATTCCAGCTCACAGTGACCCATTCACATATAGCTCTTGAAATTTGCTATTTTGCACTGGCTTCCTACTGATCCCTAGAGGCACTATTTCTGCACTGATCCTCAGATGTATTATATCCCCAATTACGTTATAAACGCCCTGGGAATGGAAATATGTTTATAGTCCGTGGAGCCTCCCAGGATATAACTTCTGTGATGGATGCCTGGTTGATAATCATTAATCACTTGCCAATTGACTAGCCCAAGGCAACCACTTATGGGGTTTGATGGTACCAAGAAAAATGATTGTTCACTAAGGCTGATATTGGTGATGGGCAAGGTGTCAGAATATCACAAGAAAGGGAATAAAACAGAAAGATGATAGCACCCACTGGTTCTGTGACTTTGGGTAAATTATTTCCTTCAGTGTCAGTGTGGATAAAATAAGAGACAAGACCAGATCAGTGACTCTCAAAGCTTTGGGGATCATGATTATCTTTGAGAATCTGATAAAAGCTAAGGATCCTTAGAAAAATGAATTGTCTTCACATATAAAATCTTGCATACAATTTCTGAGAGTCCTCAGACACTTGGACCAAGTGTTCTCTTAAGATTTCACCCAGCCCTGATAATCAGGCTGGATTCTAACAACCAGTGGTAAGTGACAGAATGAACCAGTGAGTGAGTGAACCTTGATTACTTGAATCATGAATTGGGTTTTGAAGAGCCATTGCTGGCCACATTGTCTATACCCTACCTGAACTCCCTTGCCCAGCCTCCTTAAACCCTATCCTACTACTTTGCAAAATGCTTGAAGTACAGGTCCTGTTAATGGCTGTCCATCTTTACTGGGGTGGTAGCAGATTCTCAGTCAGCATCTCCCTCTCTAGCCTTTTCATTGTTAGAGAAATTGCCAAGATGGTGTTGCTATGGTGATTTGACTGGCAACTTTGTAGTTAGGATAAAGTGATTTTCTTTAGCCAAAAAAGATAAAGCTATTGTTGTTAAGGATAGTTTAAGGCAATACTTTTGCCTGGTTGTCTCTCTTTCAACCTAACCTTTGTCCTTTTGTTCCTCAAGAGACTCAAAAAACAATCAGATGAAAAACCCACGACAAAATCAGAGGCAAAATGTTCAAGGTTTGGAGCTGGTATTCCATCTGCATGAGGTTGAAACTAAATGTTAATGGTTTCAGTTTCTTATTCACTGAAAATAGTTTTCTCTCCTGCATTAAATAGACAACATATATAAAATAATCTCTTTTTTGTTTTGCTGTAATTTTTACATGGAGACTGTTACAGATATTTGCAGGTAGCCCTGGGTAAGTAACAGCACATTCTGAGAACAGATATGGGTTATTTCCTCTATAAATATCACCAGGGAAGCTTAGCAAAGGATAACTGGGAGAGTTTTATCTAAAGATCACATCTTTTCTGACTTTACTTTTAGGTATCCCCTGTGGCTTTCCTCTGTGAAGTTATTTTGTTCTAATTTGAGTTTGTAAACCCAGTGTTTCCTTCCACTCACTGAGGTTTTCTCTTTGATGATAAAGTCAGTTTACATGAGAAGTCCATCTTTAGGGAAAGAATATTGGGAAAAATAAACCAGCCCTACTTCCTCCATGGACAAGCCCTATGAACTCTGCTTTTCCGAATACTCCTCAGTGTGGTGAGCCTGTGGAAGCATCACTCACTGGGATTAAGGACTCTATCTGACTTTCAATAATTCCTGCTAATGAAAAACTAGACAAGCACACAGTAAAAAAATCTGCAGTTCATCCAGGCATCTCCTTTTGGCAAAATAGGTCTCAATTTCTTTGCCTGATAAATTGTTCATCAAAGACAAACATCAAACTTTTTTGCTTCCTGCCTTTCTCTAAATATCTGTGAGCAGAAGTGTCTAACAACAGGACACCTGAGAGATGGCCAGGGAGCAAGTAAAGGAAGGAGAATAGCCGCACATGCACCATCACCCCAGTTTTTCATCCAGTATTAAAGATCTTAGTCTAGACTGGGCATGGTGTCTAATGCCTGTAATCTCAGCATTTTGGGATACGGAGGTGAGAAGATTGCCTGAGCCCAGCTTTTTGAGACCAGCCAAGGCAACTAGGTCAGTTGCCTCATCTCTACAATAAATCAAAAAAATTTGTGGGGTGTGGTGGCACACACCTGTGGTTCCAGCTACTTTAGGATCACCTGAGCCCAGCAGGTCAAGGCTGCAGTGGCCATAAGTGTGCTACTGCATTCTAGCCTGGGCAGCAGAGTGAGACTCTGACTCAATAAATTAATTAATCTTTTATTATTATTATTATTTTATTTTAAAGATGTGGGGAACTATTCATGGTTAGGTATACAAATGGTCATTGTACAGGTAAAGTTTGGGCCTCAACTTTGGTCCTCACTTCACCTGGTTTGAGACTGGGTATGCTTATTGATGAAGTGTGCTCCCCATCTCCCCTGGCAGTTTCCCACTACTGCCAATCCCTTTTTTTATATTATTATGATCATTTTTCAGGGTCCTCCTATGAATGAGAACATGTGGTAATCAGTTCTTTGTTTCTGTGATAGATCACTGAGTATTATAGACTCTACATCCATCCTAGTTGCTGTGAAGTTCATAATTTTGTCCTTCTTTATGGCTGCATAATATTCCATCATGTATATGTACAACATTTAAAAAAATCCAGTCCACTTTTGATGGGCAGCACGATTGGTTCCATGTTTTTGCTATTGTGAATAATGCTGCAATAAACATGCTTTGTGCAAGTATCTTTTTCATAGAGTGATTTGAATCCTCCGGTTATATTCCCAGAAGGGGGATTGCTGCGTCATATGGAAGGTCGATTTTCAAGTCTTTTAGGAATCACCACACTATTTTCCACAGAGATTGTACTAGTCTACACTCCCACCAACAGTGTAGGAGTGTCTTAATCTAACCTTGTCCCATCAATCCAAGTTGACCTCACCGTTGATCAGCTGTATGACCTTGGGCAAGTCAATTACTTGTTCAGTGCCTTAGTTTCCTCCTCAGTACAAAGCGGGTAGGGGGTTGTTTTCTATTAGTAACTACTGCTTAGGGTAGTTGTGAGAAGTAAATGAATTAAGGTTTAAACTGATGCTTGGTACTTTGAAAGCACTTGATATTATTAGCTATTAACACAAAACCTCCCCTCCACTTAGACTATCCACATTATCCTCAAGTCATGCACAATCATTTCCAAATTTTATCTTGTAGTTCTTATTACATAGAATGCTCTTTTTTTCTCCTTCCAACTATGATGTCCACATAGAGTAGCACTATTCATCAGAAATACAATACAAGGCAGAGTGCGGTGGCTCACACTTGCAATCCCAGCACTTTGGAGGGCCAAAGCAAGAGGATTGCTTGAGCCTAGGAGTTTGAGACCAGCTTGGGCTACATAGATCTCGTTTCTACAAAAAAACAAAACAAAAAAACCCACAATGCAAACTTCTATGAAAGCTTTTGTTTTCTAATAATGACATTAAAAAGATCATAAAAAACAAGTTAACTTAATTTTAATGGTATATTTTAACCCACTGTATCCAAATATTTTCATTTCAACCTGTAATCAATATAAAAATTATTGAGCATTTTACGTTAGAAAAAGTTGATTGTACCTTTTACACTTACAGAACATCTCAATTCAGATTAGCTACTTTTCAAGTGCTGACTAGCCCCATGGGCTAACGGTACCATATTGGAACATGTAGGTATAGAGTAAGCAGGCATCTGTGGATTCCTAGTTCTGTGAGTGAGTCCGTTAAATAATAAACTGCTGAGTGTTTACAACGTGATGCCAGGAACTATGCTGAGGATATATATCTCATTTAATCTTGGTGGCAGTCCTCTTAAGTAGATATTTTCACTATTCCTATCTTACAGATAGGAAAACTGAGTCTTAAAGAAGTTAAGTGGCAGCTAATAAGTAGTAGAGCCAGGATTTGAACTCAGTTCTATCTGACCCCAGAGATCATACTCTTACCTTCTGCACATGGCCTCCCAGAAGGGAACACTATGCAAAGGTCTGCATTCTCCCTAGGGTCCTCACAAGTGATCATTCTGTAAGTTGGCATAAGTGTACAATTTGTTAAGGTTAAGGATGTCCATGAACAGATTCTACTTTGGTTTCTCCATGGCAATTAATGCAATTAGTCACCCTATAAAACTTATATTTGTTTATTTTGTGAACAGATTGTGAATAGATGGCGTCTGTGCTCTTCTGACCTCTGGCGATGGAGACTGCCAGAGGGAGACTTGTTTATGAAACATCTGGAAGGCGGTGTCCTTGAAAGTAAATTCCTGTGTGAGGATCTTTTCATCATAGACAAGGCCATGTGAGGCAAAGCGGATGATCTTAAACAGTGTTTAAAACTGGCCCTAAAAATGATCTACTTGCTTTTATTGGCAGGGGGACTTACAAATGATGACCTGTGATTTCAAATTGGGATCACTTTCAGATAGGAAATGCTAACTCATTTTTATGAGTATTGCTTCCAGAGTTCAAATGCTGGTAGTTTACACAGCCAGCTAGCTTCCCTTCCCTCTGGTATTTCTGAACTACTGCTTCTTCTTCTTCTTTTTTTTATCAATAAAGGCCAGATTTTGACAAGAGGTGGACCTTAATCCAAGAGCAGATCCAGATGGACTCCATGGTTATCAAGGGCCTCCATCCAGATACCAACTACCAGTTTGCCGTGAGGGCAGTGAATCTTCATGGCCCCAGCCCCCGCAGCCGGCCCAGTGACACTGTCCGAACCCTCTGTGAGTACTGTGGCCCTTCTGAAGGGCAGATATATCTGCATTGCTGGGGTTGCCTCATGGGAATTCACTTGATGGAGTTTCTGGTGCCCTGCAGGGGATCAGCCTGGAGCGGGGCTAAGCCAAACTTTTCCTCCTGCAGTTTTCCCAGCCCTTTGGAAGTTAGAGGCTCTCAACAGGGACACAGGCTGTCTCTAGAAACAGGAGATCAGCGGAAGATTTATTTTTGCATTATCCTTGGGGAGTTTGAGGTTCATTTTCTTTCATGATCACGGAACAGAGCACATGACAAAGTGACATGCAGAGATTCCCCTTCATTTTCATCTTTTGAGAAAGTGAGTTTATCTGAGAACCATAAGAGAAAAAAAAGGAAGGCTCCCAGATTCTTCAGGATTAGTGGTCACCTGCAAATCCAAGATGTGCAGGTGACATTAACCCCTGTTATTGATAGTCAAGAAATACCAAAGAAGTCGCTGGAGCACTGATGTGTAGCTGGTTCAGCCAATAGGGTAGCTTCTCATAGTGCCTCTCAGGAGGTCTGGAGGCAAGTGGGCCAATGTTTATCAAATCACCTGGGGATTTTGTTAAAGTCAGATTCTGTTTCTGGTCTGGGGTTTAACAAACTCCTAAATGATGCCAAGAACAATACTTGGCTCAGTAACTGCTTAGACCACCTTCCCAAGCCCAGCCTAGTGTAGACATTCTGGTATTTTGGAAGTGGGAAGCACATTTATAAACCCTAAAACCCTGTGTAGTAGGGAAAGCTCAGAACTGAAATATTGGCACTTTTTTGTTTGAAGGCTTTAATCTTTTCAGTTTTGCCAATAAATTCCTTTACAGGAGCACTGCTGCAACTCTGGGTCTTCTTTACCCAGGAAAGATGCTCTCAGAAGACAAGCTTAGAATTTGTAGTTAGCTTTCCACTGGCCAACACAAAGTCCTATTTTTATTGACTAGTAGATCTGAATAATCTCTCCTCTTCTCTCAAAATATCCAAGGTCTCTCCTCACAAAATATTCAGTCTCAGGGGCAGACATTCACCAGTCCTGGGAATTTTGACTCTTCTGATAACAACCCTTACCCTGTCCTTGAATGCTAGGTCTCCTTTCATTAGATTGTTAGGGAACATGGCAAGGCCATACCTCCAAATCATACATACATACTCATACACACATACACCTTATGAGTACAGTCACCCAGCAATTCATTCCTCTTTAGAATTTAGAAGCTAAAACATCCCAGGCACATGCCAAGGGATGAAGCTCATTTCTAAAAAAAAAAAGTCAAATGATTCTATTTCAAAGGCAGGCTTCCTCTGATTCTTGCTGATGAGATCTAGCCTCTAAATGTGGTTGAACTTTGTGATGTATGGCCCCACGTTGGGGTAATAGGAGCTAGAGGTTGACTTTGAAACTTTCAGCGTGTCTTTTTGCATTACAAACTGAGCAGGCCCCCTGTGTTGTGTGCTCACCCATCTATCTCCCTTGATGTTGAACTCCTCTACTCCCATTTTATAAGTGACTACATGCTCACTTCTTTTGTTTATCCCTTAATTTCCCCTTCTCCAGGGAGTCAAGACAGTAGAGGGAAGATGAGATACAGCAGCACATGCTGACCTTGGTTGTATCAGGGAAGGACTAGTGGGTTGGGGCATTGCTTACACTTTTTTTTTTTTTAACAAAAATACGGATCTGGTCTTGGAGTTTCTGGTCATTATTTCCCCCTGCTGAATCCAAGTTTTCTAGATTAAGTGGGATCAGATATGTGAAAATGCTTTCCAGATCTCTAACATTTTGTTATAATTGGTATCTTGTGTGAAGTGAAATTTCATAATCTCAAAGTAATTGTGTGTATGGGAGGTGAACAAGGCCATGCCAGCTCAGTGAAAATTCTCAACTATGAAATATTCTTAAATAAATACAGTTTACTGCTTTTAGGTATATGTGGTTGCTCAGATCAGAATAACAGAAACAGAATTTATTGGGTGACTGTTTTATGAATGCATAAGAAGGTGCTAGCATTAGCATTTCAATTGTGAGGTTTTTTTTTTCTTGATTACTCCTAATGTTTTAGAAAACCCTTCATTCTGGCACATTTCTTATATTGGTATCGGTTTAGACTAGTGTTTTGCTTCCAGAACAATGTTTTTTCCATGTGTAAAATTACCTAATTACCAACTAGTATTATCTGAATTACAATAACTCTACGTATCAGAGCTATCACTGGGAAAGACACAGAGAGCCAGGCATTGTGTTGATACTTTACCTAAGCAATCATTTAATCCTCACAAAAACTCTGTGCTGGAGGAATAGTATCTCCTTTCCTCCCCCCCCCCTTTTTTTTACAGGTTAAAAAAAAGGAGTCTATGAAATGTAACGTATTTTGTCAGGATTGATAATTGAAAAGGCAGGATTTGAATTCAGGTTTAACTGATTGCAAGATCCCTGAATAAGATGCAAATAAAAATTATTCTTCTAATGCCAGATAGCATGAGAATGGCTATGGTCAATTAAATAAAGGACAGGGCTCAATCTATATAGAACATATGGACTAAGGGGGCTCTGGCAGCACAGAATAAAACCTCTAAGTGTTTTGGGTTTTTGTTTGCTTGTTTGTTTTAACTTGTGAGGTATATTGTACTACAGAATACAAGTGAAATGTATGTGTGGACTGAAGGTCAGCCTATGGGCATCAGTGTAGTTCAGGTAGTTTACACCTGGCAACTCTTTGATTGGTTGGACCCAAACCAAGTCATTTCAAGGTTTCAAACACTTTCCTGAATGAATGTGTGAGACCAGGATTTCTACATGTTGGGGTTCTACATGTTCCTGTTCTATTCCCTGTTCTCTCCATCTACATGAATGTTTGCTTGATATGATACCTTTTTTGCTCCCTGAACAGTCAACCGCAGAGCACAATGTCCAAGGAGATCTGCGGGGCCAAGTGCCCGATGGGAACCCTTAGATCCCACCCTGATACAAGCCACTTGTTGAGCTCCTCTGTGACCTGTTTCCCTCAGGACTAAACCACCTTCTTTTGTAAGAAAAGATAGCACTTCAGCCCCAGGAACTAGGGAAACATTTATTTCCTGCTGGGTCTATTAATGTCAGACCCTATTAGCAACTTAATTACTTATTGGAGCCAACTGGAACATCTGAGAACAGGTAGTTAATGAAAGTCAGGGCCTAGTGTTGTCACTAACCAGTGCTCAGCTGAAGTGAGGAAGAAGGATGGCTTTGGTGGTTCCACTGGAGTGTTGGGAGGTGTGTGCAGTGTCCACATATTAGCCCATCTCCACAAAAATTCTAGTAGAACATGAAGGAAGGCCTCACGGCCCCCCAGTAAACCCCAGAACACTCGGAAAAAAACAAAAACAGGAAGAAAAAACCCCCAAAACTTTAGTGGTCAGGTCCTTTACTGAGAACTAGGCTCATTTGGATAACCTGGAATAATAACGATGCTATCATGTATCTACATATACTTCCAGCATCCCATGGGAGGGCTTCCACACAAATCAGTGCTTTATTTTGTTTCCATGCGGAAGTGCAAAGAAGACCAGAATCACAATCTTTCACTCCTTATCTTTATCCTACTGTACATTTTTCCTGCAAGAAAGAACCACCAGCAGCAACATTATAATCTGACTTTGATCTTGTGAGTTAGGCAGTTGGAGTGCAGAACAGAGGGCTTTGTAAGACATGTATTCACTTCATCTGTTGGTCACTAACTCACTGAGGGGCGAAGTAGAGCTTCATCAAGAAGGATGAAGGCAGGCTGTGTGCAGTGGCTCATGCCTGTAATCCCAGCGTTTTGTAAGGCTGAGGTGGGAGAATTGCTTGAGCCTAGGAATTTGAGACCAGCCTAAGCAGCATAGCGAGACCTTGTCTCTAAAAAAAAAATTTAAAAATTAACTGGGCATTGTGGCATGTGTCTGTAGTCCCAGCTACTAGGGAGGTTGAAGTGGGAGAGTTGTCTGAGCCCAGGAGTTTGAAGATGTGGTGAGCTATAATTACACCACTGCACTCCAGCCTAGGTCCCATAGTGAGACTCTGTCTCTACAATAAAAATAAAAAGAAGGATGGAAGCAAGTAAGGAGGACATGGATAGTCAATAATAGAAATGGCAGTCATTAAAAGGTCACATGTCTTCTGTCTTTTTTTCAAAGACAGAGGGGTTTAATTAAAAATAACTTATATGTGCAATGTTATATAGGCTTATATAACCTCTTTGGGGAACATGACTTGGTCCTACCACCCCAAACCATTTAATTTCTGGGTTCTATCCTTATCATATAGGCAGAGAAAGAACCAGTAAGTGAATCCTTGAAGTGAATTTGGTATCCTTGGGGCAGTCCCTAGTAGGTGTTCCTTCTGTTCTCAACAAAAACCATTTTACTTTTTTCTGACACCCTGGCTCGGAACTCTTTCCCCAGATCTTGTCAGAACCTCTACTGCTTCTTCCCTTTCTTCTTTCAGCTCCTAGCTCAAATGTCACTTCTTCAGCCAGGCTTCTGTTATCTTAACCACATTACCCTGCCTTATTTTCTCCATAGAAATTTCACTGCCTGAAACTATGTTATACATTTAATTCTTTGTATATCCCCTCTAGGGTAATCTCTGTATTGGAGCTGGAATGACTTGTTCAATGTTGTGTTCCCAACACCCTATACAAAATCAGTGCACAATAAATATCTATTGAGTACGTGAGTGAGTAAATGTGACTTAACAAACCAAGAATCTGTGACAACTTTGGAGGTTGGGTAACTTCCTATTTCTACTGTCTGGGAAATTCAAAGACAAGATGAAAGGAAAACGTTGGTCTAGAAACCCCCTACACCAACAGTGAATTTCCCATTGACAAGGTATATAGGCAAAAGTGAACCCCCAGAATTGCAATGTGGCATAATAAGGAAAAAGTAAATAGAGTAAAAGAGGGAGGGAGGGAAGAAAGAAGAGAAAAGGCAAATCCAGTGAGTTTGCATTTACGGCAGTAAAGATGGAAAA